TCAGTTTCATAATGTAATATTCATACCTTTTCCCAAGCCATGCCTGGAAGGACACATCAAAAAAATTTGAATGCAGCCACCCACACTATGGTATATCAATCCACAAGTTATCAGAACAGCACACACATCCAGGGTAGGAGATTAATGAGTCTGCTTGTGGTTTCAACCTCAATAGGCCCTTTGTTTCAATTATCTGAAGTAAAAAGGCAGCTTTTTCTTCTAAAGCTACAACCCTTACATGAATTTTGGATATGGATGCCACAAAAGATGTGCTGGAAAATGTTAAACTTTCTCTTTTTATAGAAAGCGATAATGCATTAAAACCCCCACACATACACACGCAGTCCTGCTGAGGTCAAGATGATGTTTCACATATTTAAAATCAAGCATCTGCTGAGTTGCTCTCTTAAAATTTGTCCTGAAAGGAACTTTAGCTATTAACATTTTGCAGAATTAATTTTGTAGAGCTTGGGTTATTTCGCCCAACAGTTGAAGTCAGCACTGACACCGACATGAATTCTACCTCTGGTTGTTGAACAAAGAACCTTCTCAGTGTGGAAGAAAACAAACTAGAACACATTATCTGTCATCTAATCTCAGCACTGAAAGGTGTAAGCAGAGACTGACTCAGAGCATACTACAGAACAGCCAGTTTATAATGAACAGAACATATATGAAAAATGCCAGATTGCCAGTCCTGAAAACTGGCATTCTTTATTCATAAAAAAGGCGCAGATGAGTTGGCTCCAGCTTTGTCTGTATCATCCCCACTAACATGCCTAAAGCCTGAACAGAATTAACTTCCTTTTGGGTATGTAAACCTCATTCACTTCCTTGTCGAGAAAGTTAATGTGGAGGCCAATTAATTCCATTCATTTTACGATCCAACTATCTTCCTCTGAGGATTAACTGTAGGAAATTATAAGAGGGAAGCAGCGTTGTCATTGTCTTTTAATAAGTAATTCCGAATGAGCAAATCATTTCAAAGAGGCAAAGAACTGAAGTGAATGTATCCAGCTGACCACAGGCAAAAGGTTTCATAGACATTTATTAATCTCAGAAGCATCATGCTGTTCTTCATACTTCTGAAATACGAGAAAAAGAAAGCCATACGGGTTTCTTAATGTGCAAGTCTGGCTTGGTCATTCATTATCTGTGTAGTTTGATAATTACCTATTTCCTAAGTAAATTGCTTTGGACATTTACTTTGAGGTAGCAGGTTAATGAAGTTCTTTGAAAACTTCAGGAACCTGAAAATCTACAAAGCTTCCGGAACAAAATTTTCCAGGTCAGTGGTTATTGTACTTTTAGCAATGCAGAAGACAGCACACACTTGTACCTCAGCTTGTAAAGAGCTGGTCAAAACCTTACTCAGAGCAACACTTGTCTAGATCTTTGAGTCCACGAAATTTAAATAGCTAAAATAATAAGCACTCTGGTAAGCATGAACCGGTGATTTACTATACAGAAGCAATAAAGGATTTCGAAATAGCAGGTAACGAGGCTGTCAAGGTCAGTTCAACTAGATAACACCTGCTCTCTTTGGTTGTCTTTAAAAGTTAAATCATCGGAGCATTTGTAAGCAAAGTGATATGCCTGGGATTGAACAATAGTCCCGATTTTCTGTTAACACTTGTTTCATATTGGCACAACTCCATTGGCTCTAATGGAGTAACAGTAGTTTAGAATACTATAAGGAGAGACTTAGTGTGTACTGTTGTTGTAGCAGCTTGGGTAGATCTCCCCACGCAGTCTTGCACCTTAGCACAATCTACCAAATCTCCCCGGGGATCAGGTGAGCACCTATGGTCTCCCAGCCCACCTTCCCAGGGCTCTGGGATGCTCCCGGCCGTCAGGTTAGCTTCAGCAGCACAAACTCCAGTGTCTCTGAAGTATGCGTTCAGAAAAGCGATATTCTCACATAGTGCTGTACGGTTTTCATTACACCGTCATTCACTCAGCCGGAGGCAGCCTTCACTTGGCAAAGACAGGATGGTTCTGATAACTGTCAGATTTGCTCTTTGCGTAGCCATCAGGCTGTCAGTCACAGTGCTGGGTGGATGGCTTTTTTTTTAACATACATCATTTCTTTTCATCCTGCAAAGGTTCAAACTGTTTTCATCTTTCCTCAAAACTTTATACTGATTTTATCTTGTCATAATAGCAGAGAAATGTAACAGTCCCATCTCTGGAGACCTCAGTATTGTGCACGCTGGGGAGGAACACGCTCAGACTGTGCTACTGTTGTAGGAAGCTTGCATTCACTGAGGTCTGATAGGATTATACGGAGGAAAGGGACTGTAGGCATGGATTTAACACATTCCTGAATACTAGGGCTAGCCTGGATTGAAGGAATGGCAAGAAGATTAATGGCACAAAAGGAGTTTGACAGCAAAGCTCTGTGCTGCAGGGCTGAACTCCCCTGCACTTGTTACCCTGGGATGCAGCTCCCCGGGCTGGCCCTGCGCCAGGCAGTGCCCACTATGCCCTCCCGCCATGAGCTGGGCTTTGCAAAGTTTCCCAGCCAAGGTGTGGTTATAGCATACAATCAAGCAGCTTGGGGGTATCATTAAGCAGAATTTTTTCAGTGTTGAATTAAAGTAACTCGATTTTGTAGAACTTCAAACCCACTGAGGATATGAAGCAGAGGGATGGAAGCACCGCAGCAATTTTTTTGCAAGAAGTTACCATGAAAGACAAGATTTCTGTAATGCTACAAAGACTTTGCAACAAACTATGGAAGACTATTTATAGAAAAAAAATAGAAATCTTTATTTTATTACAAAATTGGCTATTACCAAATTGACTAGAAAGATTCAGATAACACACAAATTGCTTTACACATCGTAATATGGCTACATTTACATGTCTGAGTATAACAGCAGAGGAAAACAAACAAAAAAACCTCAGGAGACAGACCAACAAGTGCTAAGAACTTGTATCCTTTCAGAACGTAAAAAAAAACCCAAAACCTTTCACGTTTATATATATAAACCTGTACTTGAAACTGCATCATGGGAAAAATACACTAGTGACCGTAAGAGCTAACACACAGTATTGCATGAAGGGCAGTGACAACTTTAACCTTTAGATACAGGTATTGAAATCTCCACAAGAAACAGACCTCTCTGAAATGGTTAGGATCCTTATTTCCCGTGGTTCTTTGACACATACATTTTACATTACACAACTGATGAAGTAACTATCCTGTTAGGATAATCATCATTTAATAGTGGCAGAACCCATAGGATTCCAGTGATTCCATTTACGGATAAGGCCTTCCATGCAATAAAAGGCCACTAAGGTTTTACAATAAAGGTGTGATAAAATGTTTTGTGTTGGAGTTGGAGGCATGAAACACTTTATGTATACGAGCAGAGTATGTGACAGACACAGTATTGCAATCGTCCAAATCTAAGTACTGTGCAGGCATGAGGAATAAATCCTGTTATATACCTTTGTCCTTATTTTCCCTTTTGTGAAGGGAGTGAATAACATTAGGGAAAGCATATTTCTTTCATTACCCTGATTTTTAAGCCCTGTTGTTAGTGTTATTATAGACTGCCATCTTACTTCTCAGTTTAATTCTTGACATTGGTAATTTGATAAGGACTCAGCAAATTTTTTATCCCTTAAACTGACTTCTCAAAGCTCTTCAACTCTGAGCTAACAGGACCGGTTCAGTCGTGGCTGTCGTTCCCCCAGGTGTCCTATATGATACCCACAAACTGGAAACCAGCTCTTTTCAAGCTAGCCTGTTGAACAGCTTGAGGCTATAATAAATTCACTGTGCACTAAGAAGAACTACACATAGCACTCCACAGCTCATTATCAAGCTCTATCCTGTACAGTCCCTCAGCTGCACTAAATCAGTATATTTGCATAGGTTTATGAACGTGCATGGTATTTTTCTTTCCTAACATTGCTAAGTACAGATGAACTAACTAACCACATTTTCCAATAAAACAGTATGGGAGCTTTCATTGATACTATTTCTGGCTCAGCGATTGTTCAAGGGATGTGTGTTGCAGTTTCTCCACCGGTCACCATAGGCTTTGGCTTTCCCAGTCAATGTATGTTTTTTTCAGAGAAGGCAGCAACAGGGTTGTCATTTATTTTCTGCAAGCTGTATTAAAGAGAAAAAGAATCTATATCGCTATCGATTATTTAAAAGCAAATAGCACTGAACAAACTTCAGTTAAAGGAGTTAATGGAATTCACACTCTTACTCAGATTATGTTGGGTGATTCTTTCCTGTGGTGTTGGCCAGCAAAAAAAAAAAACTCCCATAGTATTTAAATGTCACTTGATTTCTAATTTGAGGACTTAATTCTAGATAAATGACCCAGTTTTCCAATTTAGATTTTTATACAGAAAAGCTTTTTTGTTAGCTTATTTGTATAAGCTTGGGAGCAGAGAAAATCTTCCATTCAATTTTTTTTAACCAAAAATGTATAGCAAGTTTCAACATTGCATGACTATTTACAAATAGATGCTTCTTTTTTTTGTCCTTCTGCCTAAAATCAAGTTCTCTAGTCCAAATTCTGTAGAGCCCTGGTATACTATTCCTTCACTAGGGCATTTTCTTTTTAACCTGTACATTGATGCTCAAAATCAAATGCTATTTTTCAGGAAATATCTTCTAGAAATTAAGTGGAGAAGTTATATTATAACAAAATAGTGGCTATTACTTTCTCCAACAGTATATACATTTTGGGTTCCCCATTTCTGATCTGCATCATGCACAGAAGACACGCTCTCTTGGAGTTTAAAACCAGACAGCTAACTTCAGAGCCAGAAGCCATACAAAATTTGTCTTCTTAGTACATAGAATATTTTTCTGTTAAAAGTAACAAAATGTGGTGGCGTTTAATAAACCTCACATTGTGAGAATAAAGCTTAGAAAAACATCTGTTCTCTTACACTCGCAGTTCTATTAACATTCTAAATGAGGTTCAAAGAAAAGTCTCGTGTACTCAGGAGACCCTTATGCACATACCTTACCGTCTGTGAAATGCAATGGGAAGCTCCCGGCTGGGAATCAGTGTTCCTGAATGGAGTGTTTCTACTGGTTTGTTGTCAGTCGCTACAATTTGGTATTTGCGAATGAGCTGAAACACAAACATTCCAGTTAGCATGCTTTGCCATCTAGATCTTCTGATCAAGTTCAGTGTTGAACAACCAGACATGGCATACAGAATGCCATTTTAGAGTATTTACCCAGCAAACGGCCAAGTGAAGCTGTAGCTCTGCTAAGCGGCGCCCAATGCACATCCTCTTCCCAATGCCAAATGGAACATGAGAAAAAGGATTTATTAAGTTCTTCTGAAACCAGCGCTCTGGTCTAAACTGAGTCCAGCCATTAAAGTATTCTTCATTGCAACCCAGGGCATAACTATTTATCATTAGTACAGTCTATAAACAAAGCAATAGAGAGAGTCTTGTTACAAATTGGCTTAGAGCTACCAAATGAATCAGCTTTTTAATGGAAAAAAATAATGCAACAGTAAAGGCGAGGCAGTTTCCTCAGAAGATATCATGTAATTCTCTGAAGATTAATGCAAACACAGAAAATGTCATAGTTTCCTCAGAAAAACATTGGGAAGTTTGAAAAAGTTTTTTGAAATAGCACACCAAAATATTCCTGTCTAAATCCAACAGCAGTGCAGGCAGGTATCATTTTCCAGTTTACGGGAATTCTTGGTGTGAATTTCTCATTCCTTATCCTTGGACTCATCCTTTGGCAAAGTCATTTTGAGAATGAAATATGACCAACTTCAGTGGCTTACAGGACAGTTAATCAACGACAAAATATTCTAATAAGCTAAATTAATTGACTTACCCCTTTGGGCAGTACATAATCTCCCAGAACCATTTCTGTGTCGATGGTGCGAGTGGTAAATGGCACCGAGGGTGTTAATCTGCAATGAGAGAAACAAAATGGGTTAGAATTCCAGCATTTTTTTTTCTTCCTGTATCTATCATAGTTTACCCTAAATAACAAGGTGAACAAAGTTTTATATGCTAGAAAATTCTTTCTCCCTAGTACACACTAGCTGGTAAAAAACTGTGATCATTTTTCTTTTTGCAAATTATTTGAGAGTTTTACCTCATGGATTCTTTCAGACATGCTTTTAGGTAAGGCATATTCTTCAAATTCTCAGCACTTGGACTCTCATTAGCAGCCAAACCACTCTGTATTTCCTGGAAAAGCTTCTGCTGAACATGTGGATTGCGTGAAATGTTATACAAAGCCCACAGTAAACTATTGGCTGTCTGAAACAAACCAAAAAGAAATGTAAGACCTCCATTTTTGGTGTTGGAAACAAGATGTTGCCAAAAGCAACATTTACGGCTGGTCACTGCCTTACGGTATTTTGTAAACCTAAGGGATTATGAGCCACCCCAGTTGTTCTCTAGGAGTAAAGAACAGAAGAAAGAATCTAGCGATTTCAGGTAAAAATTCACTCGCATTTAGGCCACCGAAGCAACTACAGGATTAGCTCACGCTCAGATATTATGGAAGAAAGCAGGGAGTTGGAAGGACGTTAATTTTAACAAGCTCTCGGAAAGTCAGGTTTACCGTTTCAACTCCAGCAATCTGGAGCTCGGCAATGGCAGCGTACAGCTCCTTCTTGGAAAGTTGTCCTCCAGAATAGATGTCACACAGGAAATCCTCCTGAGGGTTTGCAGAGTGTTTTTCCAGCCGACAGTCAATTGAGTGCTTGGCTGGGGAGGGAGAAGCAGGAGATAATTAATGGAAAATCACTAAAAATACTATAAAAATAAAAGCAAAAATACATCTTAGATGCAGGATTTTGAAAGAGGATACCAAGCTGTGCTCTTTTTTCAAGCAACGAGCACTATACTGAGTAAATAATGGTATTTTCACTCTTTAAACAAAGAACTCGGTCACAAAAATAACTTCTGAACAGAGAAAGCTCCTGCAAACCATTTGGAATTCTGCTTTTTTAAATTAGGAAAGGAAATCGGTGATGTGTTGACTGAAATATTTAGCAAACAGAAATACAAGCGTGTAAAATTTATTAGGTTGAATTTTCAAAGGGGATCAAGGTGTTAAAAATATCAAAGAGACTTAGCACTCAGACTCCCTGAGGGAAAATTTAAGCCTTTGATTTACTAGGAGAAGGCAAAAATAAATGTCAAATTTCTACATGCCTTTTTTTTTTTTTTAAATATAGAGAACTAGACTTTGCCCACCCTTTCTCATGAATATCCCGATTGTTAAGTCCAGTTCCTAGTAAGGAGCTTTTCATGTCAAGTGAGGGTGTCAGACTGGTTTTTCTGAACAAAACTGGTTTAAAGTGTCTTTCCTGAAACCCATAAACTAAGAAGCAATACAGTAAGTGCATGTGTGGCTGGCATGACCAAAACTCCTGAAGTATCAAGTACTCAAATACCTAGGAAAAATATATCACTTAGCATTACAATCATCCAAGTGCCAAATCTTTGTTAATCTTTAGCTATAACTGTCCCTGTCTAGCAAAATATTGAAAAATATAAACTTAACTTCGTATCTGGAATTAAGAGTAATTTTTGTAACCTTGAAGGCCAATTCATCTTAAATAGACAGAAAATGTTGCCAAAAAGCCAAACTGTACCTTATGATTTAAATTCCTTCTGTTTTTAAAATTTAGGACTATATTCCAGGTTGTTCAGAAAACCTGTAATTTCTTTTTTTAGCAAACGGGCTTTTGTTGCATATAAAATTCTTGTTTCTCAAGAAAATAACTCCCTTTGAGGTCCCTCTGAGGGAGGTCCCTTTTCTCACTCGTATACTTTGCCTTCAAAGAGATTATACACTTTCTAGCTATTTACTTTTATGACAGATTAAAGTGGACTCATGATGTTGCTGGCTTCCAAATTTCTGGGGCTTCCCTGGGGATGCGGTATTGCCCCACAACCAGAGCTAAGTGTTAGTCATAAGAGAAGAGTGCTCCTGTGCTTGGAATAGGTTTGTGGTTAGCTGCAGCAAAGGTGTCTCAACCTGTGCTGGAGGCGGCAATTAGCAGCAGCATAGGGCAGTGGCAAGAACGAAGAAAGTTAATTCCACCAAGTAGGACACAGAGCAGAAGGGTAAGGAGAGAAATCATGTCAAAAGAAATAACCTGTTTTGAATATATCATCCCATGCTTTAGTATGAGCTTGCCAGACTTTTGTGTTCAGACCCTTGTGAAGTTCCACAGGGGTCACCATCATCATTCCAAAAGTAGCCATCATCTGTGGTGGAGAAAGAGTTTTTGAAATCTTTCTTTAATCTATGTACTTGCAGTCTGTGATCAAAATTAAGACCGTGAAGTAGGAGGCAATTTTCAGGAAGTCAAGATTCTGGCCAGAAAAGATGGGTCTCAACCTACTTAGACTGTATCCACCTAAAAATTAGGGACAGCCAGTGGAGGATAGGAGGCTTCTCTAGTGGGTGGTTCATCCTATCTATTTTAGGCACCTGTTTTAAAATGGGACAAGCCACCCTTTGGCAGCGCCTCTCTCTTCCTTGACAACAGATGGAGCTAAAAAACTAGGCTAGGCTAGATGCCTATCTTTTAAATGGCTAAAATTAGGCAGATATGTATCACTGGAGCCCAAGTTGCAGCAAGATGCACAGCAGGTATGCTTGCAGGAATGACTAACCTCCAGATCCAGCGTATTTGCACAGTCCCACACAACTCTGAGTCCCACCCAACTAATAGCAGCGTTGCACAACAGGTGCCTCAAAGGGAGAGGAAAGTTAACCAACCAACCTGACAACTCTATTTCCAGGATTACCCTGATGTCCATGCAGCGTTTTTCCCCTACAGATTGAGGCATTTCATAAGTGGGGCAGTCAGATGGTCAGTACTAGCATTGCTCATGTAAGTGTCGCCTTGGATGTGCAAGGCTGCCAATACACATGTAGCACAGAAGCCTGAGCTTCTTTTTTCTGGTGACCCATTTAAATTGGTCCCCTCTCATTAGTAGTAAGGGTAGAAATTCACTACACCCCCGGTAAAGATTCTTCCATACCGTTTTTACAGCTTTGATGAAGTTCAAACTTTCTTCTTCTACATCCTGCTGTAGGAGACCAAACCTCTTTCCATACAGCACCAGGCAGATACCTGTTAAGCAATATTATCATTAAATAATATAAACAAAAGGTTGCACGGTGTCCCCCATTTATTGTCAAGGAATGGCTTGGATCATCCTTCGGAAGAATGGGTCTCTGTTCTATGATACACATCTGTGAGAGCAGCACTTCAAAACACGTTCTGCACGCTTGCCTCAGACCCGGGTGGCAGTATATCTAGCTAAGATGCCCTTACAGTAGCACTCTCTTCACAAATAAGAATCACCACCCATCCCCTCACGAGCAGCAGATCATTCTGTCAAGCATGGCTAGCATATTTGGCAAGTCAGTTATTTGGCAAAGCTGCTGAAGAGAACTGAGTTGCAGGAAAATGGGACCTGAAGAGGCCATCAAGTCCAGTGTCTCCCAGCCCTTTCCACAGCCAGAAACCACTTGCAAACACTGGCAGCATCCCACACTCCACCAGCGTCCACCTCTCTCCATTTGCTCTTTTTCTTTTTTTTTTTCCCTTCAAAGCTATCACTCCCTATTTCTCCCTTTCCAAAAGCAGCCATCACCACTACAGTGGAAAAAAAAAAAAATTAAAACATTTTCAAGAACTCAGTACACGGGTTGCTGAGATGAGCCAGCAAAGAGCAGACAGGTCTGGCAGAGCTCGTTCAGTTACGCACTATACCCAACCATCCCTCCTTGTGGGAACCACTGATACAGTTTCTTCTGCCCTAAGTCATTCCTGGCAGATGGTTCCTTACTGTACGCTGAAAGGTTTCTAAAGATGGAGGCTCCTGTCTTGGTAACTTATTCCAGCGCTTCTCAATCCCAATGTAAACATTTTAAATGGGATTTTCCAACCCTTGTCTACAATGAGTACTTGTTCACTGTTCCTGGATCATTTCATTGACCTTGTGCTGCTACTGAATAACAAGTATCAGATGGACAAAAATGGTCACGTGCTATCTGATCCCACTCTAGATAAATGCACTGTGATTCCCCCAGGTTTTGGATTTATAAGTCACTATTAACGTTTGATTTTTTTTTTTACAAGCCACATAGATAACCTGACAGAATTGAAGAGTTTGTACAGATGCTGATGAATTCTGAATGTGCACCAATGGTCCCCTGGCTTTTCTGCAACCCACTTTCCATGATATTGTAGCTGATAGTTTGGAAATAACCAGCCTACACTGTCACCACTGATCGTACTTTAACTGAAATACCACGGCAGGTGGAAAACGCATACCATTCTCAGGCAAAAACCAACTTACTTTCAAATGACCATTTGTTGAATTCTGAATAGACATCCTCTATTTGTCCTTTGTCGTTACAAATATCATCTATTCTGTGCATGAAGTCCTCCAGGACCTAAGTGGTGGAGAGAAGAGAGAAAAGAAAGGAATAAAATGACATCAACTAATAAAAATCCTGTGTAATTTAACATTTCAACTGTCTTTTAAATAGGTAACAATCACACATAAGAGAGGAACGCTTCTGTTCTTTGAACAAGATTCAATTTCCCCCTGTTTAACATATGTTTGGATTTTACATGACTCTCTCACTACTACTGCTTGTACTTCGATGAACTGAGCTTTCCTCCACAGGGATGAAATGCTTCAGTCTGACACGGGGATAATACTGGAGTTTCACAATAAAGAGGATTAGGCTGTTTATCACAGATGCTCCTCACACTCAATGATGAACACAGAGGTTGAGGAGGGAGGTGTTCCCTGACATGAGGAACACAAGGATGAAGCACTAAAGGCAAAAAAACTCCACTGAATGCAAGAAAAGTAAGCAAAAACTCTGTTTGCAGGACCCTGTATCATTGTGGAATCATCCTACTGTTCTGTGGAGACAGACAATCTCACCTATAGGCTTCTGTGTGGTCTCACTTTTGGTCAGACCCTGATAATCAGACTGTACTTACTATTCCCTGAACGATTTCAGAGTACTAACTCACAGTTTTACCACTGTAGAGCAGATCAACAGCTCTCCAGGTAAACCTGGGGTCACTTGATCTGCTTTTACTTCCCAGGTTTCCAGGGGACTGGGGAGAGAGAAAGAATTTCTCAAAGCGCAGTACCTCATTGATTGTGGTGTCCAGTTTCGCAACTTCCCTGGGTTTCATTAATTTCTTCTGAAAGGCACTTCTCACCCTCTGCCAGTCTTTTCCTTCCCTAGAGTGAATTAAAAACAGCGAGGCTGAAAACACAAAGGCTTAAAGAAGAAAGCAAGCAGACAAATCCCCAAGCCCGCGCCGTCTGCGACAAGGCATCGCCGGGCGCCTTCCCCGCACC